CTCCTTAGCAGCATCATCTAAGTGCAACAGGGTCTGACCAGCCTGGGGAGAGCTGGAGGCACTGATGGCTCTGCACCATGAAGTGGGAGGTCCACTTTACCATCTTGCTGTCTCTCCAGGCACCCATGTGCGTCTGTAGGACAATCAAAACCCATTTCCTAAGAGCCAGCCCTTGGTGTCACAAGGAAGGATGGGCACATCTACCCTTTGCTGCCTTCTATAGAGCCTCCCTGGTCCCAAAATAAAACACGTGGCAATAAGCCATGTTTCTCTGCAGAGATTGCTGTGCCCTGCAAGCAGCAGCTCCATGCACATCATCTGCTGAAGCACCCATGAGATCCTGTCACCTTTTGGTCATCCCAGCTTTCAATAGGGCCCCTGTTTTTATTGCCAGTGTTTGTTTTCTGGGCACCACCAGTGTGCCCAGCAGTCCAAAACCCACAGGAAGAGATGTGGTTCACCCCTTCACCCCCCCTGCACAGCTCAGCACAGGAGCAAACTGAACTTTCTCATCAGACCTGGCTCCGGGTTATGAAATAACCCAGGCGGCTGCTGCCCGTGTTTTGTGCACAGGATATTCCCAGGGCTGCAGTTTGGCCGGTGGAAGGTTTGCTCTGAGATTTAAAGCTATTGTAGTCTGGAGCCCGTTTCCGAGGTACTTCCCCTCTGGGATCTCTGTGGGGTTTGGCTGAGGACCAATGCTCTGAATGTTTGAGGCCAGGGGCTAGGCAGAGCAGAGCTGGGCTGGGAGCCCTGACCCTGAACCATAAACTGGGCAGAGAAGAGGAGCCTGGGGAAAGGAGAAGTGCATCCTCCTGATCTGTGGGGTTGGAACATCCACCCAAGGACCTGACTACCCCTGGGAGCATTTCTGCTGGCACAGTGAGGGAGGCAGCATTGGGATGAGAACAGCCCCTGGCCAGGCTGGTCACTGGGAGGTGTCAGGCTGAGTCTGCCTCGTTGCTGTTGTTATATCTTAGTGTTGTGGTGTCATGTAGAGCCACACTGGTGTACCTGGTGCTGTTGTGCTGGGTCCTGCACAGAGGGGGGGACACATCTGCAGTGTGGGGTCTTGGTGTGTAGGGTCTGGGGATCCCTCCTGTGATGTGCTGCTGTTCTCTGGTTGCTCCTCAGCTGATCTATGGGCTACAGAGCCAATGGTCCCTCTTTGGCAGGTGGCTGCTGGGGTAGCCAGGAGCTCTGCTTGGCAAGACCCCTCGCCTGTCCTTTCCTTGGGTGCAGTGGGTCCAGGTCTTAGCCTTGGGGGAGTGTCCACAGGGCTGAGCTTTTCCCATGGAGCAAAAGTAACCTTTTCCTGCAGATAATCCCTGGCTGTAACAGGGTGCGTTTAGGGCTTGTGTTGGCTTGTTTGGGTCCTCCTCTGCAATATATACCCCGTGTTTTCTTCCTGCTCTCCCAGAGGCAGTACTGGCGCGGGGTCTTGGCACAGGGTCTGGTACTGCCATGGGCTCCCTGAGCTCCCATGTGTTTAAGCACACACCACCTGCAATAACATGTTTGTCCCAGAGGCTGGGTGAAGGCAATCAGAAAGCAACCGGCAGCCACTTCAGTTGCTGGCTTTATCTGGTCGCAAACGCCCCCTTCACGCCATCTGCATCCTCCTTTCCCAGCATGGGGAGATTAAACCCTGTTTTCTCTGTGTAAATATTGGCAGCACAGCAGCAGCCTCCCTGAATGAAAACAATAGCGGGGAGGCTGGTTCCCAGAGCTGTGTCAGCCCAGGTCCCTGCTCCAGCCTCCCCTGTGCACAGGAGCACTGAGCTGGGCAGCTTGGTCCCCAGGCAGGGGCTGGGCTCCAGGGACATGTGCCACAATTAGAGCTTTGTCCCATGTCCCCATCAGTCCTTCACGTGCCTGCCATCCATCTGGCTGTATCCCAAAGGACTTTGCAAGCAGGAGCTTGTGCTTTGGAAGCAGCTGGGAGTACTCAGCTCCTGTGAGTTGGGCTGCCTCTTTCCCCCAACACAGTTGAGCATTACTGGGGAGAGCAGGTTGATGAAAAAGGGAGAGACAGAGCTCTTCCTTTGGGAATCATAGAATCATATAGAATGGTTTGGGTTGGAAGGGACGTCAAAGGTCATCCAGTTCCAACCACCGCACCCAGGCCGGGTCACCT